TAAAAAATATATAAATTTCTAACAAATCTCCTCTTTTCTCTTTTCCTCATCCCCTCTTTGCTTGAAAGCCTAAATTATTTTTTTATGCTTAAAATTACTTTAAAATATTTACTTAGATATGTTGTGTAGTTCTTTTTTCTATGAAGTCAATAATAAAAACTTTACTCCCAACACAGAATTATCTATTGAGTAATTATATTTAATTTTCTTTTTTTCTTTTGGTCATTGATGTGATTTACATTACAAAAATATTGAATCTTTTTTATTTTTTAGTTATTTTTAAGTTTTTTTTCACAAAGATTACTAAAAAAAATTCACTAATTACCAAAAAAGACCTTTATAAGTTTCATTTTGGTCCCTCCTAAACACTAATAGAGCTTCCTTCTCTTATTTTCCTTTGTAAAAAAATTGGCCTTTCTCTTAGCAAATCCTAGCTCCGCCACTGCATGGCATAATGGTGTACTGTAAAAAATATTTCTGTTTGTAAAATGAAAAATAATGTAAAGGAACCATACACACATACATACATACACAAAGAGAAAAGTGGAAGAACAAAAATTTACTAGGAAGCAAATTTGCAGTACAAAAACCTCGAAAACCCAGAAGATGTTTTCTCCATTTCAGATTCCTTACCTTCTACCGAGGAAGTGAGAAGTGAGAACGTGGGTTCTGGACTCCCAATGTGAAATGAGTGGATACGTGGTGAGACTTGATACCCAATCCAAAAGATTTACGCTTGGGCCCTGAGCCCATCTCAACAGAACTTATACTTAGGCTTTTGGTTTTGGGTTTTTGTTTTTTTTATATATTTAGTACTTTTTAATTAAATTAAACTAATACTAGATTTAAATTAAATTTAATAAATTCAAATTTTTATAATAAAATTTGATTTTTAAATATAGCAATAGTTATTAAATTATGAAAAATAAAAACTTAAAATTGAAAACCCAAACCATACTGAATCAAATCTTAGTAAATAATTTTCTTATGGCACTAGATTGAAGATTGAAAATAAAAAGGTTATGGATATTATTTGAATAGAAAGGAAAATTGGTGATTACAAGGTGCTATTTAAAGATTATTTAATATTTTAGAACTTTTTTAAAAATAATTTTGGAAGCCACCCCAACTAGAAATTAAAGTATGTTTAGTTTGATGGCAATATAGGGAAAGGGAAAGGATGGTTGGAATCTGATTAGTTAGAAAATTCATCCTTTCTTTTTCCTCCTCTTCTTTTCTGATTGTGTTCTTCAAACCAAACATACCCTTAGTTTTATGAATGCACATTTTAAAGAATTTTTCATAGTAATATTGTAGTTATAAGTTATATAAAATTATAGACTAACAATTATAGATACATTATTGAATAAGTTAGAACATAAAATATCATGAGCAAACCTCTAAATAAATATAATCAATTATATAATGACTTTTTATGATTGTAAACTTACAATACCAAGCATTGTAATTATATCATTTTTGAAATTTTCCTGTGCAAATCTTATATACCCAAAACCTTTGTTCAAAATGTGCATATAATCTAAAGATTTATGTTTTATAACTTAATATAATCCAAATTACAAAATAACAAACTCTTTTACTAATATCTCAATAATATAAATACCATTTAATGCACGAGATAAAAACAACATAACACTATTTTAATGTAGGAGATAAAAATTTCTTTATGTTAATCTCGTGAAGGATATTCATAACATTTTGACATTTTAAGCTTGTCCATAAGTTACAAATGAGAAAACACTCTCATTTTACTTGCACTACTATTAGAGCTTTTAACTAGTTAAATCGAGTCAAATATTTATGTATTTATGCTCAAACTTACTTTAAAAACTTAAACTCAAAATAGTTGACATGAAAGGTTAATGTCAAAATGCAATTTTTTTTATAATTTTTGTATACACCAGAAGATGAAAAGGTATGCAATAAAAAATAATTATTTTCTTTCTTTCACTTAATTTTTCTCTACTTGCATCAAGTTTCAAAGTTGAAACTTTTAACTCTAAAACTCAAGTTCTTTCGGGCAATTTTTTATAACCAGTGAAGGAGTTTTACTGTGGCAATAAGATAACAATAAAATTAGTTATTTTATCATATTAACGAATATTCTGAGGAAAAAGAAAAAGGAAAAATGTAGAAAGTGGAAAACCCTGAAGAAGATCGGCGATTTCTTCTTCGACTGAACAAAGGTTCTAGACTCCGGTGTGAAAACTGAAACCAATGGAAAAGTAATGGACTTGGATCCCATGCCAATCCAAAATAAGTAAGCCCGAGCCCAGTGCCCATCGTTAACCTTCTTATGGTTAATTGAAAAAAAAAAAAAAAGAAAAAGAAAGAAAGGCAGAATCACTGGTGTCCACCATACCCACCATCTTCCTCCTCACTTCTCTCTCGCGCGAGAAAACCGATTGACAACGATGCATTGTCCGATACACTTTGCGGGAGCTTAATGATTCTGTTCGGTCATTTTCTAGAAATTCATTAATCGAATTATGTATTTTTTTATAAAATATTCGCCATGAACAAGAAAGCTTTGGCGGTTTTGATGCGTGCCAGAATGAGGCCAACCGATCCAAGCAAGCTCGCTCTTTCTCCTCTTTCTGTAAGCGTTTTCTGATTTTCAGATGTAGAAAATTTCATGTATTTTGATGTTTTGTTCATCCCTGCGTTTGGTTGCGGTGGAAAATTTGGATTAGAATTATGTTTCTGGAAATTTTATTCGATATAATTAACTGATCGTCTGTTTCTGATTCTGTTCGCTTTATTTGTGATGTTTATTTTTCTTTGAACTGTATTGATTATGATGAATTTCTGTCTGTTAATTTTCCGGAGAAGATTTTCTCATTAAATTTGAATTAATTTCAGAAGGAGGCTAATCAGATGATATCCAATTCACAAGAGAAACAATCCGGTCAAGATGGATTCAGAAAGCCCGATGCCTCGAGCAAGATAGAGAGGTTTTTTTTTTTTTTTTTTTTTTTATTCCTCTTGTTTACGTTTGAAAAAGAAAACTCGTTCAATAGGATTTTGTGTTTGCTTTATTTTTTATAATTAGGTCGTTTGAGCATGTGCAAAAATCGATGCACTTGGCCATATCAATGAATAAAACAGACATGGATGCAGAGCTTAATGAATTTTCAGAGGTATAATATAGCTAATAATTGATTACTCTAATACTCTGAGATGTCATAGTTGTATAATCAGTGTTTATAGTACCATATGATATAATGTAGGGGTACTTTAGCCTTTCGCATGAAAACCGCCAGAACTTATTGCTCATACTTGCCAAAGATTATGATCTCAATAGGATGCAAATTCGTGAACTCATTAAGCAATATCTTGGACTTGAGCCACCAAACAGTAAGTGCATTGCTTGTTCTTGGTTTGTTACCTTTGGCACTTGTTGCTTTTCATATTTTCTGAGTTGGAGTGGTATGAAGCTAGTTTCAGGGAGTGAAGCTCAATTACGAAGTGGTCAGGAGGAAGGTTTTCTCTCAGCTTTCTATCGTATAGAGCAGAACTTGAGGCATGCCCTTAAGCCTGTGTATGATGTTCTCTTTGAGCGGCTCAACACACATCCTGGAGGGTTGAGGTTTTTGTCAATTCTTCGAGCTGATATTTTATCAATTCTCGCGTAAGGTCATGGTCCTTGTTGCATGATTTCATTTTATTTATCTATTATATCAGTTGTATTTTACTCCAGATTTTAACACCATACATATAGTTTATTAGCACATGAAGCATCATTAGTTTGAACATGCCAAGGGAATTGAAAGTTTGTGTATTCTCTATAATTGTTTAGGGAAGAAAACATTGCATCTTTACGAGCATTAGATTCTTATCTAAAGGATAAACTTAGTACTTGGCTGAGTCCTGCTGCTTTAGAGCTTCATCAGATTACATGGGATGATCCTGCTTCTTTGTTGGAAAAGATTGTGGCTTATGAGGTCTTTCTTTTCTCCTCCTTACTGTGCTTTCAAATAGAGATATTGGGTTGCGAAGCTTGCAAGTTAGTTAGTTTTTATTTTGTCAGGCTGTCCATCCAATTAGTAATCTTATTGATCTTAAGAGAAGGCTGGGAGTTGGTCGTCGTTGTTTTGGATATTTTCATTCAGCTATTCCTGGTAAGTTGTCACATTAAGTGCTTGTATTGTCAGTATTAGTTCACTTTTTTTTCCCCTTGTGTTTTCATCTGTCCTAACTTACCATTGACTAGCTCTCTCAAAATTTTTATATATTTCAGGTGAACCTCTTATTTTTATTGAAGTTGCACTTTTGAAGAATGTGGCTCAGACAATACAGGTCAATTTTCTTTCATTGAACTGTTTTCTTCCTTTTCCTCCCTTTCCTTCTAATTTCTTTAAGAGCGGCAGGAAGTTTTGTGGCATGATCCTCCCATTCCTGAGTGTGACTCAACATGTGCTTTGTTTTACTCCATATCCTCAACTCAGGTAAGCATTTACTTCTCTGTCATTTTATTTTATATGAGGCAAAATGCATAAAACATTATGATCAAACATATTTACACTGCTTTTTATATGGTTAAGATTAGATATATATTGCGTCATGCAAGTGCAATACAGTTTCATTCCATATTCATACTATTCCTTTGTTCACAGTTGCTCTTTACTCTTAGGAGGATTCATTTTGTCCTTTTTCTTTTGATACTCTCCATACATGGTTGCTTTCTGATTTTCCCTTTGACCCGTTTTCTGTGTATCCAATTAGAAATAAAATAATTTCTGAAACTAAATATTGGAACCAATAAGATAGAGTTCATTTGTGACTCTTAGTTTTTGGTTTTATTATAATAACATTATCATTAGCTCTTCTTTCTCAGATACTTTTATGATCATCTGTTTCCATGAACTGACTGACTGTTTCTAACCTTGTGCAGCCTGGCTTGGCAGGGATAAACCTTGGGAAGTTCCTTATTAAACGGGTTATAACACTGGTTAAAAGGGAAATGCCACATATTACTGTAAGTACTCTCATGTCTGATCATATTACTTAGTGGCATGAAGAAATCACCAATAGTTTTATGCATGAATGGAGTCAGCTGTCAAATAATTTGTTTCCTTTTAATCATTTGTGAACCACTAGTTGCTCTATTCTTGAAACAATAGTGGTGCTCTTAATCCTTTTGGTTCTTTTGGCTTGATGGCTATACTAAATTCTCTGTTGTGAGATTTGTAATTTTTGGCATGATAATTACTGTTTACTTGGAGTGGACAGGAGCGTAAAAACATTTATTGGACAACTAGGATTCTTGCTAAAGTATGAATGTGACTCATAAAGAACACTTTTAGACCTCCCATATTATCAGTACATCGTATTGCACTGCAACCATTTTATATGCATTTTAGGTTTATGCTGAGTCAGATTTGGGCCTTTAACCTGGTAAAAAGCCTTATTTCTGAATAGACTAACACTCTTTTTTTTGGGGTCTCTTTGCAGACATTTGCAACACTAAGCCCTATCCCAGGGTTCATGCAGTGGCTTCTATCCAAGTTGGCTTCTCAGTCAAAACTTGCTGCAGAAGAAAACATATCAAATTCATCAAAAGATACTTCTGCAACCACTTTCTGGGAGAATATGCTGGAGCCAGGGGAAGAAAGAGTGCTGATGGATTCATCTGAGTAAGCTTATGTTTCTATTCTATTGTACACCCAAAATTATATGTGTTTCATGCTCAAGAGGACCTCATGATTTTTCTGAAGCTGAACACCTTCTATATCTTTTTCATGGCATCTGGAATATTTTGATCTTAATTCGTCCATGTTTCCCATAGTGGTCCTGTCCTTAGACTTTTCCTCTTTGTGTGTTCATCTTTTTTATTTTGTAAAGATTCAATAAAGAAAGTGTTAAGTAAACTGAGTTGCAACTAATCTAGTGAGCTTTTAGAAAAGTGCATCTTTTGTTGGATGGTTTTTCAGATATTGCATTCCCACTGTTCATCTATTTTGTACAAAGTTATATCAAGCAGGTTGAAGGAATTCATTTTTTCCAAAGACTTTTCTCTCAATTTGGTATGATTGCTTTTGTAATTTGTACCACCTTCAATGTGGTCTGCTTAGCTCAGTTTAGGCTGTGGTTTTTTTTTTTTTTTCTTCCAGTTTTACTTTTAATGATGGTCTATACAACAGGGGATAGCTCTCTCCTTTCCCAAAACCCCTTCAATGTGTTCTAGTTAGCTCAATTTAGTCTGTTTGTGCTCTTGGAATGTATTCATTAAGTTTGCATATTAATATGTCAATTGCAGGAATTTTGCCTCTGGGAAAAATGGCATGGAAGTAGTGTTGAACTTGCTGACATCAACTAATCATGAGTGGACAAATTCAGCCACATTGCTTTCAGCGTTAAAACCTTCTCTAATGCGACTATGTGTGAGGTATATTCCCTCCTATTAAATTATATCATTAGTGAAATCAATAAATTAATTCATTAGTACTCTGAAAAACTTTCACTTAAACTGTAAAGGCTATATATGAGCAAGATTTTCAGGTCAAACGACTCCCTCTGTAGTTTCTTTTCTTCTTCTTTCTTCTTCTATTTTTATTATTTATTTATTTATTTATTTTTAACATCTTTGGGGTGTTCATCTCCTCCATATGACGGATCTGTCTTTTGAAGAAAACAAGTATATCTTTTTGGCTCATCAAATCAGTTCCTCTTCTTCCATAAAGTTTTTGTTACAATTGCATGGAACTACTATTTATAAATAATGGTTTGTTGGAAATAGGTACCTTCTGCAAGAGAAGAAAAGAGGGAAAGCTCTAGATTCTGTTACGAACTTCCACTTGCAGAATGGAGCGGTATGTTATCATGCAACTTCAAAATGTAAATTAGCAAGTCTTCTTAGCAGTAACATATTTAGTGTGTAGAATTATTTGTTTCTCTACTTTCTTATAATGTCTTATTTCTCCCTTTTGGTTGGGTGTAGAGCTAGAATAATAATATCATATTCAAGTAATGTGTAATCTCCATATTTAACAAAACTGAATAAAAATCCCTGATAGCAACAATTAGCTTCACTAAAGAGATACGACTATAGGAGAAAAGCATGTACCTTTAGCTGCAAATTTTCCCTTCTCTGGTTACTGACTTGAACTATTTTTTCTTTTGTTGGTAATTTTAAATTTGGAACAGATGGTTGAAAGAATAAATTGGATGGCAGACAGATCAGAAAAAGGCCTTCAGCAAAGTGCAGGTATAATGGTGAACTATGTCTACAGGTAATCATTTTTTATCTAAACCAACCTTCATATCCGGCTTGGATTACTAATTCATTGGAGAAGATGAAATTATGATAATATGAAATTTGATTACACTCTTTAATAGCTGCTTCTATTTAAACTAATCCCTTATAAATATATCCTCTGAGCCGCAAGATTATTAGTTATACTAAAATGATAAAACTGGACAGGCTAGAGAATATTGAAGAATATGCCCAGTCATATTTCAGCACCGGGCACATCCATACTTCATCTGATATTCGTCATTATGTTGAGGTATCATCAAGTGTCCATGAAAGAATATAATGACATGCTGATACAATCTGCCCTTATCTTCACTAACTCATGACCCTAAATTTTTTATCACTGCATGTGTTGCAGCTACAGAGCCACTGAGAGAGGATGAAACAACTACAGGCTATGATGATCAGAAAAAGGCGAATGACATTCAACTTGCCATCTCACATATGTAAACTTGTCAGTCACATAATTCACCATCTTGCTTATATTTGTCTGTTATTCACTTAAACTATATTACTTATCATTAATTTTTCATTGTTCTACTGAATCATTCTCATCCTGGAGTGATGCTTCATTAAGTTTTCCCTTTCTAAGGAATCATTAGAACTTTGTTGTATGGCAATTAGCAAGGATGAATTGTATACGAGGATAGGGTAACAAAGTAGAGATAGTCACATGATTTAGGTGCTGGGATTCTGTTTGTTTTGAGTCAATAATTACAGCAATAATGTGAAGCTTATGGGTTAAAATATACAAAGTATATGTTGAGTGGCTAATGGTTGCAAAAACAAATAGTTTAGAGTGGTTTCACAAGGGATAAGCCTAGATTATTTTGTATGCTATATTCCATGATTTGAATGACTTCGTATTTTAGAATAATTTGTGAGATTAATTATTTAAATAAAAATCAACAAAGTTGGTATACACTAATTTAAAGACTTTAATTTGAAGTAAAGATTAACAAATTCAAACCCTAATACCAATCAAAACATCCATTATATAAATAATAATAATAATAATAATAATTACGAAACTTTAGTTGAAATAGCATTAATAAAAATAGGAAAGGAAAAGAAAGCAAATAAAAAATTTTGGTTCGATAAAGATGATCAAATATTCACTCACACACTGCTATTACCACGGGGCTGCATGGTTGAATCTCTGGTATGTCTTGCACGTTCCCAGATCTTAAGGGCAATGGGGGATAAGACCCAGAAAAGTTGGGTCGCAAGACACGCGATACCTATCCAAAGTACCGCCGTACTTACTATATTGAACCCAATCGGAGCTATATAAAGTAGTGAAGTGACAAAATCTAAACACAATGAACCCACAGCAACCCGCAGCAGCCAGTTGAGAGGAAACCCGCTGGTGAGAATAAAAATTATTAACATTGAAGAGAGGAACCCGATAACGCCTAAGAATGTAGTGAAACCGAACACTATTGGGTCAGATGCAATTGCGGCCATGCCATTGAAATGCTGCGGGTCTTCTTGTGTGTGGTTACGGTTGTTTGCATGATTCACCGGAGATTGTTTGAATCCTCCCGGAGGGCTTAGAACTGCCTGGTAAGTGATGTTTGCAATCAGGACAGCAACAACCATAAGTGCATTTTTTGTGTCTGCATTCATGTCTTTGGCTTCCTTGGTTAATGCCGAGTACGATAGCTTACACATAACCTTCTGAATAGGTGATGCTTTCTTCTGCAGAAAATTCCAAAGCCTCTTACGTTTAGATGCGAAGGAGTCTTGACTGGAGGCTCGATTGTCTTGTTGGAGTTGATCATCAGGTGCTGAATTGATGATATCTTCGCGTCTAACTGCCCCTGCTTGTTCAAGCATCCTTCGTATCTTCTTGTTTACATTTTTGTCAATATTCACCGATCCTTGTGAATCGTAGAATATATCAAGAGCTGTGGATCCGTTTCCATTCTGGGCATTCACGTCCACCCGATGCTGGACATCTTGCAGCAGTAATATTTTCAGTACCTGTCAAATGTCACTCACAACTACTTAATAAAATCCTTTGTATGAAATATTCTCACAATTAAGACTGTATTTACTTTAAGGAAGTGTAAATGTAGAGAGTTCCGTGGGTATATATACTGGATTTGAGAGGCTGAGAGCTGTTTGATTCTAGTTTTGTTTGAGTTGTGAAACCTTGGAATGCCTGGCTAATACTTGTAATCACCCATCATTGGGATTTTGGAATGAAATGATCGACTTACCAGTTCCCAAAAAAAATTTGGAAGTCAAAAGTCAAAAGGTAAGTGATTTCACAAAGGGAAGAAAAACGTCTTTTTTGTACTTAGTCCATGCTCAAATGTACCACTGAAAAAATTACCGGTTCTTCAGAAAAATAGAGAGAATGAACAAAAAATCTTACCTGTAGCTGTCTCCTCTCAGTCGCGGTGTGGAGAACCGTGTTGCCTTCATCGTCTCTGTTATTTAAAATGCATCTAATTTCTCTCGCTTCTATATTCTTCTCAAGCAAAATCCTCTGAATCAGCTTAAAAGCCTCAATCCTGTTGTTTTCTAACGCAAAATGAAGGATAGGCTCTTCTTCATCCATTAAATTAGAAACAAACTGATCTATATGTATTCCCATGGTCAGTTCTCTCAAAACATCCTCATTTTCTGTGAGAACTGCAAAATGGAGGGCTCTGAGGGTTCTTTCTTTCCAAGTGCTTCTTAGTTGACTCTGTTCTCTATCTTTCTCCAAAAGCATTCTCACAATCTCAACAGATCCTTTTGCTGAAGCTATGTGAATTGCACAGAGGCCATCTTTGTTGCGAATTTTGATCCAGTCTGACTTGCGTTCTAAAATCTCTTTCACAGAATTGATTTGCCCAAAAAGTGCTGCAGCATGTAGGACTGTGTCATCTGGCATGGTACGGAAATAAGATTCTTCAAGAATAGCAGGGTTCTCATCAATCAGAGCCTTAAGCTGGTCGGTATCTCCATTTCTTACTGCTTCGTAGAGTGTTTCATATCTATCCATCACTTTCCTTTTTGCAATTGATGATCTGGTGAAGTCAGGGCCGCAAACTAGAGTCGGGGTGGCTCAAATTGTAGGAACATCTTCACTGGACATTGACTTGAAGTCAATGCGAAAACATATTTCTACGATATTTGCTTGATTGTTGGCATAGAATTGAGAGATAAGGGGGAGCATGGACCACATTAGCATTGACTTTATGGTCCATGCTGGAGCCAGGAGAAGAAAGAGCACTATGGATTCATCTGAGTAAGCTTTGTTTCTATTCTATTGCACTCCCAAAATCAAATGTATTCCATGCTTGAGAGGTCCTCATGAATTTTTTGAACCTGAACACTTTCTATATTTTTTTCGTGGCATCTGTAATATTTTGATCTCGATTCATTCATTGTTTCCCAAAGTGGTCCTATCCTTAGACTTTTCCTCTATGTTTTCATCTTTTTTAGTTCGCTAAGATTCAATAAAGAAAATGTTAAGCACACTGAGTTGCAACTAATCTAGCGAGCTTTTAGATAAGTGTATCTTTTGTTGGATCGTTTTTCAGATATTGCATTCCCACTGTTCATCTGTTTTGTACAAAGTTATATGATGCAGCTTGAAAGAATGTATTTTTTCCCAAATACTTTTCTTTCAATTGGGTATGATTTGTTTTTTTATTTTGTACTGCCTTTAATTTGTTCTGCTTGGCTCGGTTTAGGCTGCTTTTTTTACTTCTTGTACTCTTAATGATGGTTTATTTAACAGAGGATAGTTCTCCCCTTTTCCAAAACTCCTTCAACTTATTTTAGTTTGCTCAATTTAGTCTTTTTGTGCTCTTGGAATCTAATATTAAGTTTGCATATTAATTTTACAGGAATTTTGCTTCTCTGGGAAAAATGGCATGGAAGTAATGTTGAACTTGCAAACATCAACTAATCATACGTGGACTAATTCGGCCATATTGCTTTCAGTGTTAAAACCTCCTCTAATACGACTATATGTGAGGTATATTCCATCCTATTAAATTATATCATTAGTGAAATCAACAAATTAATTCATTAGTACTCTGAAAAAATTGCACTTGAACTGATGGAAGATGGTGAACTGTGAAGGTTATGTATTAGCAAGATTTTGGGTCAAGTGACTCCCTCCTTAGTTTCTTTCATTTTTCTTTTACATCTTTGGAAAGTTGGTCTCCTCCCTAAGACGGATCTCTGTCTTGTGAAGAAAACAAGTATGATATTTTTGGCTCATCAAATCAGTTCCTCTTCTTCCATGAAGCATTTTGTTTTTTCAATTGTATGGAACTACTATTTATAAATAATGGTTCGTTGAAAATAGGTACCTTCTGCAAGAGAAGAAAAGAGGGAAAGCTCTAGATCCTGTTGCCAACTTCCACTTGCAGAATGGAGTGGTATGTTATCATGCAACTTCAAAATGTAAATTAGCAAATCGTCTTAGCAATAACATATTTAGTGTGTAGAATTATTCATTTCTCTACTTTCCTATAATGTATTTTTTGTCCCTGTTGGTTGGGTGTAGAGCACAAATAATATCATATTCAAGTGATATGTAATCTCCATATATTTAACAAAACTGAATAAAAATCCCTGATAGCAGCAATTAGCTTCACTAAAGAGATACGACGGTAGGAGAACGCTGTTGGAATTATTGCTAGAAACGTGGCAATCAAATCTGCAGAAATGATGAAATGAAACTGCCATGAAATGCAGCAATGAGGCTGAAATTTAACGGCAAATGAAGCTGCAATTTGACAGCAAATATGGCAGTAATTTAGCTGCAAATATGAGGGAAATGAAGCTGTCAAATGACAGCAAAAATGTGCCGCAAGCTAAGCTGCAAATGTTGATGAAGATGAGGCTGCAATGAACAGCAAATGAAGTGCACATGAAATGCAAATGCACATGAAAGGCTGCAAAGAGGCTGCAGAGCTGCCAAAGGACGCAAGTTGCAGCAAAAGTAGCTGTTATTTGTTTAAATTTCAAATGTACTTTATTGTTTTTTAATGAAGAATAGATTTGAATTTTGAAATGTTTGTATTCTCCTATACATATAGGAGAGTTTGTTAATGAGAAAAGATGAGTTGGAGTGATATACTCCTCTCCATTTTGTGTGTTCTGCTCTTCATCATCTTCCACTCGGTCTCCTCTCCATTTTCTTTGAGAAAAAACCCAACAAAGGCATGTTCCTTTAGCTGCAAATTTTCCCTTCTCTGGTTACTGACTTGAACTATTTTTTTCATGTATTGATAATTTCAAATTTGGAACAGATGGTTGAAAATATAAATTGGATGGCAGACAGATCAGAAAAAGGCCTTACAGCAAAGTGCAGGTATAATGGCGAACTATGTTTACAGGTAATCATTTTTTGTCTGAACCAACCCTCATATCTGGGTTGGATTATTAATTCATTGGGGAAGATGAAATTATGATAATATGAAATTTGATTACACTTTTTAGTAGCTGCATCTATTTAAACTAATCCCTTATAAATTTATCCCCTGATCTGCAAGACTATTAGTTATACTAAAATGATAGAACTGGACAGGCTAGAGAATATTGAAGAATATGCTCGGTCATATTTCAGCACCGGGCACATCCATACTTCATCTGATATTCGTCATTATGTTGAGGTATCATCAAATGTCTATGAAAGAATATAATGACATGCTGTTACCATCTTCCCTTATCTTCACTAACTCACGACCCTACATTTTTTTTTTTTTTGACTGCATCGATTGCACCCACAGAGCCATTGAGAGAAAGATGAAACAAATACAGATTATCATGATCAGAAAGGGCTAACGACATTCAACTCGCCACCTCACATTTGTAAATTTTTCAGTCGCATAATTCACCATTATGCCGATGTTTGTCTGTTATTCATTCAAACTATTAATTATCATTCATTTTTCATTGTTCTGCGTAATCATTCTCACCTTGGAGCAATGCTTCATCTAAAGAATCATTAGAACTTTGTTGTATAGCAAGGACGAATTGTATCAGTTATATTCATAGGTTTGTAAAATTATTATATGAAGACAATGATTCTAATATATTCATGAGCTACATTTCACTGCTATAGTGCCATATTCATGAGCTACTTTGCATTGTATACTGCTTAAAACCAGAATATACAGCCACACACAGACGAGCTGGTGAGCAAATTGATCACTTCCCGGTCTCTTTCTCGGTTATGAGACTGGTGGTTTCTAAAACATACTCCTGCATGAGCCTTGTGTTACATTCGCCAACCATCTGCACCAATCAAAAACAGAACAGATAAGTCAACAGTGGAGAACCCAAGGGATGTTATGGTGGTAGTGGTGGTGGTAAAGAAGAACCCAAAACCGAATCCCAGACCTTGGTAGCTAGGCGCTTCAGGTTGTCCCACTCGAAATCATTCTTACAGTATGCAGATCTAACCTGTAATAAGATTCATACAATACTCTTGTTGGTCTAACCCAATCTAAAATGAAGGGAAATTTTTTCACAGAAAATATAACATTTACTAACCTCTAAGATCCGCAGGGCTGTCATATGGGTTTCATCAAACACAATAGAACGTTGCCAAAAATTAGTTTCACAGATTCAACAGCATCAGATAACAAATAATAATTTTTTTTTTCTTATTTGGTCAATTTAACATACATACCCAGGCTCTTATGTCCGGCGGATTCCCGCATCAAGTTGGCACAGAACTTGTCTCCATCGTTCAAGGAATTCCTTTCCAGGAATTCCATCAAATCTTTATATGCTTCAGGGTTATAGCTCTGTTGTTGCAAATATAAGTAAAATAATAAAATTAACTAACATAAATGAACATGGTGATGAGTATGAACCTGAAGCTGTGCACTGACAATCTTGACTGCAATGTAGTTGAAGAAATTGTGGAGGTTCTTGGCCGCCTTAGCCTCCGGTGATGCTTCTCCATATCCTACATGCACATCCACCATTAAAATACTTAAGAGAGTTGCACAGTGATGAAGAAGAGGTTGCAGAGAGGAAAAGAGGAGAAATGGAGAAGAATACCCACCAGGGACATACATTTTACTGCAATTTAAACGAGTGGAGGATTGGAAGGGGAAGCTCCTTAATTCCTTGCCTGGCCGAGAAGGAAAAACTGATGTGTTTCTAATGGGTTTTGGTGGGAAAATAGAAGGCTGAGAGAGAGGAAGAGCTGCACAGGCTTCCATGGAGGATGAAACTGAGTTGCAGTGGAGAAAAGATCAGAAATTTTTTGCCTCTAGTTTCTGGTTTTGGATAAACTGTTTGGATATTGAATACTCCGTTTTTGGACTAAATATCTTCAGGAAAAATATCTTCCCATCCGCCTGGAAAGTGCATCTCAGTCAGACAGTGCCAACAAATTCTATTCAGTTGTCTTCTACATCTATTTTAGTAATTTTACCTTGTCCTCATGTGATGGCAGAAAATAACAATGACACAAGTAGTAAGAAATTAGGCTGTAAAAAGGCTCTGTCATGGGCACGGTTATTGTCACGCCACACAATACATTAAGATAAGATAACACAAAATTATTAGTTAATTAATATATTAAAATTAATTTATAAATTATTATTTTTAAATATTATAATTAATTATTTTTTT